GTTTTCGTTTTATTAGCAAATCAAAAGGGTCAGTTACTTCTGGGACACCCTGCATAAATAATGCAATTTCCTGTGCATGTATCACCCGTTTCTGTTACTATGTTCAGCTCATTTATCTGATGAGGAATCCACGACAGAGGTCGAAACGGCAGGCGAATAAAAGTGTTGTCCCAACTATTGAATCTTCCTCTTCTTCTTCTTCTTCTTCTTCTTCTTCTTCTTTATAACTTCCTTTTGACTTGCATGTTCGCTTGTGTTAGCAGGGGTCAAATACTCTATATACTGCCTTGTTGATTTGGAACATATGAAACCAAGCAAACCTACTTTAGGCTTCAGGATAGGTTTAAAATACGAAACATTTTGATTAAAGAAGTCAGGCCTTGAAAAGCAAAATGCGCTATTCCCTTAGTTGCGCTCCAATGCGTGACGTATGGAGTCAGACCGTAGTTCAGTCGCTACCAGCAACCCCGTCCCAATTTGAACAAAGTTTTACGATGACTCCCCGGGGGAAACCAGGAGAAACGTGTCAGATGGGTGAAGAACAAATAGAACCAAGTCACAGCAGGATGTGATTGATGGAGGCCAACAGTAGCATGCACCGAAAACGGGAAGAAAACAAAAATAGTAAAAGCTTTTGCAAAAACTAGCCACCAGGAAAATCGTGCACCCGTACGATATGGCATACACTGCCATACCTCAAGGATGCGTCGAAAGCGACCGAACGCATTGCTGCGAGACTAGGTGTCGGAATTGCACACCGTTCCAATGGTAAGATGCGCAGCCGGGTTATGAGAATCATGGGCCGAATAAATCTACTGAGCAGTCGGGCGTAGTGTATCGCATGCCATGTCTAGATTGTCCTCGAATTACATGGGACAGACTGGACGCATGCTTGATTCGCGGACGCACGAACAAAAGGCGGCTGTCCACACCTTCGAGACCGGTCACTAGTTTAACGTCGCAGCTGCGAGGTTAATGTCATACGCCGACAACAAGATACGACGAGAATTGATTGAAGGCTGGGCCTCGGATGAGAACTAAGTCGATCGATCTATCGATCTGGCGCCGGCATACATGGCCATGCGCAGGCATCTCCGGACTGACTGGCCCATGCCCCCTATAACTTTTGCTTGTTTTTCGTTGACGCTTTTATCTCTGGCGATGGACTCCAGTAAGAACCCTAAAACTCAGAGGAATACAATAATTATTCCGGTGATCCAAACGCCTTCTCGCTATCTGTGTATCGTACATCTGTCCACAAACGCCTCTAAGACATCACTTTACGTCTACAGAGGAAGGAGTGTATCCCAGGAAAAAGAGGGAAGGAAGTGCGTATTCTGAGCACACATTCCCAGAATGAGACTGCTTTGTCGGTACAATACATTTAAAGTTGCAAATATTCCCATCAGAGAATTCAGAAACGTAATTAGCAAGCATACCTATGCTACCAGCTCGGACCACTTCCATGTGCATCTGCTCATTTACTTGCTCCTGTGGAGCAGGTTATATCGGTCGCATGGCATGGCTTAGGAAAGGTGAAGTCAGGAGCATCAAAATCACCATTCCTACCCACATGGTTGATTCAGGACATCATGTGGATCCCCGCGAAGCCTTCAGGGTGATTTATAAGGTCCCACTAAGTTATTCAAAGTCCCTGGGTCAGCGTTTGCTGGCAACAGCAGAAGCAACCGCTATCTGCTTGACGAAGCCAGTTTTTTGCAAGCAAAAGAACCTCCTGCAAGTTCCAAGCTTTGCAGGGCCATCGGTCACATAACTGCCTGCATTCTTCCACGCTTTCTCTTCCTCTTCCACCCTCCACCCTGTCCGGCTTCAACAAACCCTCACTGTGCCGTAGTCCGCCGCATATTAGCAACCCCCATCCCCTTTTTCCATGACTAATTTGCCTGTAATTATGAAAAAAATTGCCCGCATATACACCTTATAGATTTACCCCCCCCCCTTCCCATATAAATGCAATGGCCCGAAGACAATAAATTTAATTAGCGAGTTATCTGAAGTTGGCTTTACTCAGTGAGTTCGCATAAAAAGCCACGCTTTTTCGTTAGAGTTATATTCAAAAGAGCGTCATGCTTACGTGCGAATGGGAGAGCAGATCTTTCATGATGAATTGGTCATAAATCTCCTTGCCAAGGGCTATCCTCTCCTCATCTGTTTCCAGGTTCTCCAGTTTTCGAATCTGCATAGGCGAAGCTTTAGAAAATACGTCAGGAGGAACTCACCTCCTCGTAAAACCGGATCTGAGGAACGGGTACTTCACTGTAGTTTAGACAGAAGTCTTTAAATAGTAGGTAGCCTAGAAAAGCCGTAGATTAGCCAATGTGAGAGGGTGCATACCGAGCCGTTGATTGAAGATATTGTCAAATGTCAGCTCCCCGCGTTTCTCCATGAATTTCATCATCACGCTTCGAATGCTAAATCATATTGAATAGGGCAAACTTAGAATTTGAATTGACATCGGAGTATCAAAATAATTTTAGGGGGTTAATAACTGTTCCATTTAAATAGCTTGAAGAATATATATCGATAATATGAAATGAATCATTTTCTATAACGGTTTGAACAGCTACAAAATACCACTAACTGTAAAATCATTCAAGGTAATCGAAAACCTTCTCGGTATAAAGAACCAACTTGACGACAAAAACTTTAAAGAAATGAATTGAGCAGATAGCACACGTCATACAAGGAGTGTACGGCCGCTATTTCATGCAAGGTGACGAAACTAGCGAAAGGTTGACAATCACTCGCACATTACGATTACTGCGGTCCAAAAGGTGCAATTAGGAAATACAATGACCTTCAAACAAAATCCATCGATGTGGTAGTCATATTTATCAGCTAACTCACTAGATTTAAAAAAATTAAAGCGGAAAACGAACATCGCAGCTCACTGATATCGGTTAATATTCACCGCACGCTGGAAACCAGCACTGACATTCGACATTACGCAAAAAACGCAAGAAAGGATTTGTGTTTGTAGTTCACACGATGTGACCATTGTAATACCTGAGTATATCAGCAACGTATCGTTAGGTAATGAGTTGTAAAATGGCATTACGCCCTTCAAAATCATCAGCTTAGGCCAATTTATGACACGGCGAGTACGGACGATATTTATTTATATTCGGGACATACCAGCATACCGAGAAATAATTTGCTTTAAGTATCTCCAAAAATGATCGAAATTAAAAATAATAATCATCAGCTTAAGCCTTTTTATCGATACACAAGGTATTCGATGAGGACAGCAGTTTTCCATTGTTTGAGGCACAACAGCGGCTGTGGCTTGCCCTAAATTGTTAAGCATTTGATCCAGAAATTCGTTGCTGGCTGAATTATGTTTAGAAAACCTATATTGACATGTACGTTATTTCTGTTCTATTCTGCGGGTTATTTTAAGACAAAAATTTTACAGGCGAATCATCATTCTGCCAAAATTGATAAGCTGTCTTTAGCTTTGATAAAGGACAAGTAAAACCCAATTGCTTAGAGTGACTTCTTGAAAACAGCCCTCTGTAGCATATATTTATAAAAATATCGGACTATAAAAGGCCAGCAACATGATCCTTGCATTTGTTACCAGCACAACATTCAAACTGCGATCACATGCCCGGTCGAACACATCTATTAAAAGGCCTACAGGGCAGCCAGACGATTGCTTCTCAGTCATAATAAGTCTTTGAAAATTAATGACACGATTATGAATAGACATTAAAAAAATTATCATTTAGGGCAGTTGTTCACACGCCTAACGGAATGCTAGGTTTTTAAAGATTTCCCGTTCCTCTATTCAAACCACGTTCCAGTTCGCAAACAGCCAGTTAACCACAAACAAGCCTTCCGGAACGTTACTTGTGCGCAGACAGCTTAAATACTGCGATATTTCTAGGCAGGTTTGACATTTCTTTCTACACCTGACTCATGTAAAAGTGATTACTAATACACTGATCAATTATCAGTTATAGAGCACCAGTAAAACTGCCACGAAGGGCGGAGAGCTAGAGTCTGGCACGTCGATAACAATGTAAGGTGCTGGTGGATTCCAGATGATTGCTTAGGAAATCCTGACTGGGCAGTCATCTTGCTGTTCTCTAATGGCCGATTTCATATAAGCAGTAAGTTAGGTGGGTTAAATCGATCCAAGTGTGATTATATTCACGGCTCACTGTGAGCCTCGTAGCTCCATGGTAGAGTGTTGCCTGCGCAAAAGCTTTCCCTGCTGTGTGGGTTCGACGCCCACCAAAACCGCGAATTTTTCACAATTGGATCAACGGAATTAAGCAAATTGGCCAAACGCCCCCTAATAAATGTCTAAATGGCGGACATGGGTTTCAATCATAATGCGGCAGGGATGAGATAATAACGAACAGAAGAAAAAGAAGGAGATACGATAGCTGAAACACCATTTTTAGTGGCCTGGTCTTGAAGTTTCTTACACAAACAAATCACCAAAACAGTCGCAGATAATGATAATAGAGTTACGAGGGGTACAGTACAGTTCTGAGATCCAACGTCTGTATGCACATGCAATGCCAGATTTCGGCAAACCACGGTCCCTGCGGCGTGGTAGGCGCTGGTACTTTCTCTCTGTTCTGATTCCCTGTCGTTGTATGCGTTCGCGCTCCCACTGAGTTTCAGGCCCCACCTCAGGTGACCGAGCAGCTAGGCGGTCGCTAGACGTTGGGGGAGAGAGTGAGCGACCCTCAGCGCGTTTCATCATTATAATCAATCAGATGGGCGTTAAATCTATCACGGTGCGCTAAAAGCCGTGGCATGGAGGGTTTGCCAACTGACGGGAAAACTCGGGCCACCTACGTCACTACTCCTCTAGTACGCGTGTGTTTGTGTAAGCGTATGTGAGGAGGTGGAGGGCTGAGAGTTAGGCTGCAATGGCTCCTTCTTAATATGGCCTTAATGGCGCTCCAGCGCACGCGAGAGCCTACCTAGCGAGTTGGCTGAGTCAAGTGAGCGCGTGTTGAGTAAGTGTCGCGCCAGCCATCTACGCTTTCCCTCATTTTTGCTGAAAGTTTAGGATTTTCCATTCTAAATATAGCATTCCTCTCTCTCCCTCTCCCCTCCCGGTCTTATTGAATTTTTCTTTACACCGGAAACAGAGGTGGGAGCGGCGAGCAAGTGGGCAGGTCCCCGTGAGTCTGCTTTAACTCCTATTTTCGTTCGCGGTAGTTCGCTGTGTTGCTTCAGCTTGCTATGGCCTTCGTGCAGCTTGCCTCAGTATCTGCTTCGGCTTGCTCCAGCGTTTGCAGCGGCTTATTGGAGCAGGCAGCTGCCCATAGTCGAAATCGGCGGGGAACTGTCGGCATGTAACCACCTCCCTAAATACTAAGCAGCGCTCGTATTCATCGCGGGCGATCGTATTTTATGTGACAACCGCTCGTAAGTACGCCTTTGACTCGGGTCAGAAGATGCTGTCTGCACACGCCACAAAACCTACCGTCTAGCAAATAAAAATTAAATTTTGCGGGAACAAAAGGACACTGGCGTGGTCAGTTAAGCACGTGTCTTAATTTCGAAGCACTTCACCTTCTAATATTATATAGCATTTGCCAGTTAAAAGACAGTCAGTTGAACACGAACTAGCCCTGCGATTCGTGTTCAAGACGAAATATCATGATTATTATTGTGTAACGAAGCATAATTAATGGGAAAACTCACAAACGACTTCAGCAAACTATTTAACAATGTCGTAAGTGAGGCGCTTTGCAATCATCATTACATTTTTGCTGATCAGCAGCATTTAACAAAGTCTGTGCTGAAGTTGCCAAAACGCACCGCTCAAGACGGATTACTGTTTAATTCACTTTATTTGGATTAAATGGCAGGAGTTTCCTTGGTAGCAACGAATGTTCTTATTTATATTTACATGCCTACTCAATTAATTTCTGTTAGGGTTAGGTTAAGGGTAAGGATTAGGGTAAGGGCTAGGTTTAGGGTAAGGGTTGGGTTAGGGTGGGATAGTGATGTCGTATGTAAAAAAAACCAAGTTTCTGTCTTGCGGGAAGCGTGGGTGTAGACATGTAAATATACATAAGAATATTCGTTGCTACCAAGGAAACTCCTGCCAATTAAATTATAAAGCGTCAGCCTAAGCCACAGGACCAAAATGACCGGCTTGCCAAACGGCTACCCAGAAAGTGGTGTTTTTTATTACCCATGGACACTTCTTCTGAGATGCCAATTCCCGTTTTTTATTATTTTTCACTCAAAAGCCAGCTGCTCGATAACTGACGCCTGGCGAAGCGAGCAGACTTTACTGTGCATCAGTTGACGCTACAATGACGCGCAAATGGGTAAAAACACCGTCCTTTTTTTAAAATTGAACGTCAGACGCACGCGGACATATTCCGTCGCCGATCAAGAGAGAGAGAAAGAGGGAGGGAGAGAGA